GAATGGCAGGTCTTCAGCTGGGAAACTTGGGATCGTTTAGAAAGGTCTACCCGAAAAGCTGGCTCTAGCTATGGATTCATGTGTGAACGTGCACCTTCTACGCTTGCTCACAGCAGGATGTAGCACATACAGAAGCACACATATGCACCCTGAACGCAAAGCACGTGTAGTTAGTGGCCTCCATGTGACACACCACTGCCTTCACCTTAGGACCCAAAGCAGACTGCACTTCATCCACCAACTCAACTCAACTCAACTCAATCCCCACGTCAGGGAACTAGCTGCCAAATAACAGCCCACCTTTAGCACCAAGCCCCTTTCCATGGTCCTGCATGAGAGCTTGGGCTTTGCCTTCAGCACAGGTCAGACACTATCAAGTTGCCTGCTTGGAGGTGTTGTACTCCCTGTACCTTTGTCATTCCAGAGGACCAGGGAAGTGTTTTCAGCTACTTCAGTTCTCAGAAACAAAACCCCCACCGATCGGTTCTGGGAAACGGGGCACACACGGAAGACCTGATGGTGCATTCACTGCCAACAAGCAACACGGTCATCCCAAATGCATGCCATGAGACCTCTGTAAGCCAGCCTCCCGCACACATCCACAGCTTCATTCTAGCTGCACAGTTCACATTTTGTACATAACACACAGGTAAAAGTTACTAGCTCTGAAGCACTGCAGAACAGTCAATCCTTAGGGCTGGAAGCTAAACACACATCCAGAAAGTTCATGGCCAAGAGAAAGCTGAAGCTCTGCCTGCCACCAGAACTGACCGCGACCGCTTGAGTATGCCACAGGGATTTGGGAGACAGGCAGACACAGAGACATGAAGAGGCTAAAATGCTGAAATGCACAAAGACATTAGTTTATCTGCCCACAAGCAAAATCTCCCCCCCTCCCCCCAGACATTCAGGGACTGGTAGTAAACAACGGGAGTCAATTCACACACATATTGCTGGCACCCTGAAATGAAACACAGTGGCCAAGATGACCAGAAGCATGCTTAGTGATGTGGGGCTTCAACAGCTCTAAACTCTGCCGCCCTCCCCCCAACAACAACCTTTTGTTTCAGAGATCATGCAAGCCTCCTCTCAACACAGGAACTATTCACAGCTCCTGAAAACCTTGGCCAAACCCCTTCGAGCCTCCCTTTAAAAACGTGAGACGGATTCAGTTAACTGTTATGGGATGAGATCACCCAACATGTACTTTAAAAACTGGCCAATGCTAAGCAACAAAACCAAACCTAGAACATCCTAACACAACAAAGCTACCTACCTACAGCTTTGGATATTTTGCTCTATTACCTCTACATTTCTTTCAAACAGGAGATGATTTTCTAATGAACCCATTGAAACCAACCTTCTTTTTGTAGCTTAGAACTTAAGAAGTCAAAACTCACTGCAAAACCTTTTGTTTTGGGTTAATTTAGGGTATATCTACCTTGAAAAGAACTTTAAGCTGGAGTGAGGTTTTCTTCTGCTATGCAGAAACACAAGAACATCCCAAAATGGTTTTCTACACAATACCTTTCACCCACAAACCACCAAGAATGGAAGGAGATGTTGGACTGAGGACCTGAGACTAACAGCCAGAGACCCCACGTACGCGTTGCTGAAGCAGCCACGGGAGGGGAAACGACGATGCCTGATGATGAGATACAGGTGGGCAAGTTGTCTCCTACCTGGCCAGGCTGCCCCAGACTTGGTCCCCAGTGCTGTCCTCCTTTGCCTTGAGTCCCTCCAGCAACAACAACCATTTGTTCCCTGCTAAGGTGCAAGCGTGGCTCCCCGAGACGTTTGGAAAGGGCCCCTTTGGGACCCCCTTGTGAAATCTGTGCTTGTCTCCACTATTACTACTTTCTACTAGAAACTACAAATTACTTCATTTTTTTCCTTATCTCCATACAAATATAAACCATGAAGCTATCCAAACCCCAGATAACCTAAATAATATACTACATTACAGTGTCTAAGCCCGTATCTGCATTCTCACCTCTATTCCTCTCCCTACGCTACTCAGCTTCCTCTGGCCAGGGGAAATCTCCAAGTACAGCTAAAGCTTTTTTTGCCCTCACACACATAATTTAAGGGAATGGAGAAAAGACAGCAAATCGAACAATAGTAATGTTCACACCGTTATTATACACTAGGCCCAAATGCTTAAAAATCCCCTCTGCCTTAAAGGAGCTCACGTGGCTTTCTGAGCAGCACCTAGCTCAGAATATACCAAGGTGCTCCAAAAAGAGCTTTTCTTCTGCCTCCTGAATCACAAATCTGGTAACCGAAGCCTTTGGCCAACTGTATGCACTGGCAAGACCCTGAATATTCCCAAGGTTCGATCTTACTTCTTCATAAATAGCAAGGAGAAGTAAACCCTCCTTCAAATCTGGGAACATCAAGGTTCAGACACTGGATATAACACATCCAACCTCATCTCCACTGTTCAACAGCAATTAGCTTAAAATAAACAGAAGGAAAGTGCTGATGTTACTAGCAACGGCTGGCTTGCTTCTACTGTTTTAGTTGATAAAGTGCAGAGGAAGGGGGATTTAAAGGTATCTGGGGTGATGCAAAGGGTTAAATGGGCGACGCAATGAAAACCACAGCCACAGACTCCACTTCTGCAGAAAACAGCTTTAGCTAACATGTTTCTGCTGGGATTTCTTACTGACTGGATCTCAATTTGGTTTCAATTTGCTCATAACATGCTCAAAGGGCATAACCAGCCTGGCAAGTGGGTTCCCTAAAAGCAACGAGAGGGGCTAAACATGCGACGAAGAACAGAAAAGGGACAGGTTAACGGAGTGAAAGCAAGGGGAACAATTCCAGCCAGTGCTCGAGGTGTCGCTTTGTATTCCCTGTTTCTGCACCCGGACGGCTTCAAGAACACCCTCTGCAAAGTGCAAACACATCCCCTGAAAAGCACACGGGGTCCAGAGACCTCGGCTCACAAAGCCAAGACACCTTCTGGACCCCAGCCATGGAAACTTCCTCCATCCTCGCTCTCAGCTGTGGCGGGAAAGTGTTCCTCCTCCTTTTACCATGCAAGAAGGGGACAGAGCCTGTCCCACCACCAGAAGGTGCCACAGAGTTTCTCCCAGCCATCCAACCAAACCCATTTGAACAGGAGATGCTGTGGCCAACAGCCCACGAGGCACAGACCCTCAGTCTGTTCTCCTGGGGCTGGAGCATCACCCGCTGTAGTGTCTTGGAGAGACAGTGCTGGGTCATCGCTCATCTTTCAAAGGGGTTATGACTGGGTATCCTCCCCACAGACCCCGAACATATTTGGGCAAGCCATCACATAGCCTACGCTGCTTCGACCTTGTTACTGCCAATGCTTACACCTCCATGGGAAAACTATGTTTAGGCTAAAAGCAACTGTGTTACTGATTGATTAACGTAAGAGGTGATTAGCTGGCTAGGCGGGCTGTATTAATTTCTCCTATAATACAGTGGAATTTTGTCTCCTAAAAATATTCTGTGTTTTTTCAACACTTGCCTTCGGAAAATCTTTTATGAAAGGAGCATATATAATTCTTCTACTTGCAATCTGCATGACAGCCTGGCTGCCCTTGTTCCTCAAACATCACTCTCAGCTTTACAAGAGGAACGTGGCCCAAGGAGAGCATTACATTATGTACAGAAAATATTTTCAATTAGGAAAAAACCAGCTCTGAAACAGAACGTGCATCGAGAACTTAACAAATCTGCCTGCAACGTATTTGAAACATGGGACTTGCGTTTTGGATACAAATGCCCTTGATGCTCCCAGGGGAACAGCAGGCAGCTATAGCACCTCAGGGACACGAGCCGTGATTCCTGAATCCCCGCTGTGCTCCCCCCGTAGGGGTGTAAAGCTCATGAGCACCAAGACACAGAGGGCTTCACGGCATCCCCTCCAGCTAGCTGCATGTTACGTGGGTTGTCCTGTCGCTCAAGGACCACCCCTAAGTACCAAAGATGAGGGAGCTGCCGGGGAACGATGGAGAAACTGCAATTAGACACCCTTCCTCGATTTAAAGACAATTCAAATTACCCTAGTACGAAGAGAATCAGCTGAAACTTCCTCTGCCGCAGCCAGCCCTTGGGGGTTGAAGAAAGATTTCCCCCTCCCCAGCAGTCAAAGGTCTATACAGGAACAAAGTACAACATGAGAACACCGACAAAGCGGAAACGCTGGCCAATATTCTCACGCTTCCACTTTGAGGCTCACTTTTCTTCCACAACTTGATGATTTTCCATCAAATCATTAATTTTCTATTTTTCTTTCCCCCTTAAGATAATGACTGTTTTTTTCCTTCACATTTTGTCCACATCCAGTTTATTTAGCAATTGCTACGCTCCTCCCATTTGTATGCTAAATGAAATCCAGAGCCCCAAGGAAGAGAACCACTGAAGGCTTGGGAAATATATATGAGCAGGTAGATTTGTAAATTACTATGCTGTGTGCACCTCACTGCCTTCACATAATTGCTCCTTTGCCATTGAATTCAGTTGAGTTTTCAACTTTCCCTGTGACAGACCCTTCCCCCATCTTCACACTGCCATATGCCACTTAAAAAGAAATCAACTTCCCTGCCTGCCAAACCCCGTACTTCCCCGTGCCAGAATCCTACTTGGTTGAACACGGGAGAAGCTGGGATCTTCCCGGGAATACCAAAATCATCGAATCAAATATTAAAACTTGGAATTCAAATGAACTGTCTAGGCTACTTTCACAAGCCATTTTTCTTCCAGCAAGCAGCCAAGTTGGGAGTCAAGTGCAGCCATGCCCTGCCTGCTGCGGTGAAGGCTATCAATTCTGAACTTAATCAAATCTGATCTTCCCACAGCCAGGCTTGGGCTTTTTGTCTTGGCTTGTGAAAGCTTTGTGACTTTGCGAGTAAAATACATTTACAGCACTGAGGAACAACCTCTTTTTCCTTTCTAAAAGGTCTCGCACACCTTCTATTTTCATGCCAAAAGCACCATCAACTCCTCCTGATACGTCCCTCAAAGCATGGCGATGGAAACAAGAGTTCACTGCTGGGAGTACTGTCAATGTACAATGATCTGCAATGCACAGACCCTAACTAGTTGCACATTATTTAGCTCACATTCATTACAGTTTATAAATTAACAGAGATGTCATTTTCTGTACAACAACAAAAAAATAATCAATGCAGATTATTTTTTTTTTATTCAAATAGATTTTACATACATATCATCTAGAGACACAATACAAAAATCTGTATAAGTTAGGCAATGCATCACAGGAGTGACCAAAAACTCAACACATTTACCTTGGCAAAATGACAGAACCTATTTCTGCTGGCTGAAAAAAATACTAGCCTTTAATGTGTGTATTAATTCCACTAAACGTACTTGCAATGGTTTTCCTTAGCGGTGTTCATTATTCCTTTTTGTGTTTCAGAGTTACTCTTATTTATTTTTTCCATTTTGTTTTTACACCGAGGAGACTGCAGTCAAATAACACTCAGCAACTCATTTCCTCTCTTTGGACTGAAAAATTAAACAGATACTAAATTATGACAGTGAATTTAGAAAGGAGGGCTCCAAGGGCTTGAAAGAACATGTCTGAGATAATATGATGCTTCTAAGAATATTGCAATCACATCCAAGCAATCACCGAAGCGTGCCATGTAACTACCTCCTCAGCTAATATGCTTTTTTCTCCGTGATGACTAATCATGTTCTATTAAACAGCGGTAATGCTGGAAGAACTCAACTATACAAGTGTAATGAAGCCAGTATTCTCCCCGGACAGATTAGCTACAACTGATTTGACACATACCATCATAGGAGCTTCAAACCTGACAAACTCTGTGCTTGCTTCTGATTTATGCCGTCAAGCTCTTCAGAGAAGAGAATGAAATCCAGGCGTCGCGTTTGGTAGAGGTGAAATGTACTGATGTGCTTAACTGTCAGTTACAGAAAGTCACCATCTCTCCTTCCTTCTCCTCTCGCTCGCCTCTCCCTCCGCCCCTTCCCTCCACGCTTGGGGAGCCTGGTTCCCCCCCCGTGGACGACCGCTCTCCCATGGTCCCGGTGCCACGCGCAGCGTGTCCTGCTCAACCCACATGCACTCGCCTGCTTGTTTCCATCGTTGGAGAGCTGCCACTGAAACGACTGCTTTCTCTGCAGCCCCTTTTGCTCCTTCTCATCCCCTCACTGTTTCCGGATGGGACAGGGATGTACCAAAGGGAAAAGGGGAAAGGAGAGTTACCAGACTCACAGAGCAGAGCTGTGATGGGGATGGAGGAATATGAGGCTGCGGATGTAATTCAGGTCAGCGAATACACGAGTGAGCTCCTCCTCAGATGATGGTGGGCATCCTTCCGCTGCTGTTGTTCCGGTTATTGTTCTTCCTGGACAAGTTTGGAGTGGCCATGAGGACGAAGCGCTCATCGGGGCAGCCATACTGGAGGAGAACGTCAATGCATTCCTGGCTGGAAGCCTGCCGGGCATAGGCCAATGCCGTGTTTCCATGGGCATCGCGTGCCATCACGTCAACGCCATACTACAGAAAGAAGAGAGGTGGTGTTGCCAAGACAGCATTAAAACAGAGGGAGTGGATTCAGGACAGATAGAACCACAGAATGGTTGGAATGGGTTGGAAGGGACCTTAAAGCTCCTCCAGCTCCAACCCCTGCCCCGGGCAGGGACACCTTCCACTAGAGCAGGTTGCTCCAAGCCCCTGTGTCCAACCTGGCCTTGAACACTGCCAGGGATGGGGCAGCCACAGCTTCTCTGGGCACCCTGTGCCAGCGCCTCAGCACCCTCACAGGGAAGAGCTTCTGCCTCAGAGCTCATCTCAGTCTCCCCTCTGGCAGGTTAAAGCCTTAGGTCCAACTGCAGGACACGTCTAAGCAAAACCCGACCAAGCCAACCCTCTCCCCTGAACACCAAGTACTTACCCAAATCAAGAGCTGCACTAACACCACGTTTCCTTTCCTACATGCCAAGTGCAGGGCAGTGCGCCCATCACCGTCTCCACAGGTCTCGTTCACCTCTTCCCGAGTCCCATGGGCGAGGAGCAGGATGACTGTCCGCAAGTCCTCCTCGGCTGTAGCCCTCAGGAGATGCTGGCCCAGAGAAAGCTCCAGGCACTGCAGTGGCGCAAGGAAGAGCTTCTGCTCGTATTTTGCACGTATCCAGAGCTCTTTTTCTTCCCTGGAGAAGCCAAAGGAGACAGGTCACTCTAAGCTGCCTTCGCTGCCTCTAAATAGCGGCAGTTCAGGCACCAGCACACTAGCAAACAGTGGTTAACCAACCACAACATTATCTCCCCTTAAAATGTTTGGCAAGAAAGCCCTCCTAGAAGCAGTTCATCCAAACTTTAGATGTACAGCAGTGCTTGTGTCACCCATCTCATCATTACTGAGCCGTATTATTGCAACGCCCAAGATCCCCCTTGCGCTGGGGTGGTAAGATCACAACATCCAGTAGGTCTTACAAAGCCCTGGGCTGCCCTGAGGGCCAGCGAGAGGTCAGTGCAAGAGCCCTCACTGTCATGAAGACCAAAGACCAAACAGGCAGCGTGGCTGCATGTTAAGGATGTGCTGCAAAACACATCACAGAACATGCACTGAATTTCTTTATCTGAGACCAGAAGTAACCAAGCACCTGAGTTTGTGTTTCAGACAGGAAAGCAAGCCCTGAAAGACACAGCCTTCCTCACAGGGGTGCTTTTTCCTTCTACAAGTCCCAACGCAAAAGGTGTATGGATGCTTCCTCTGTTTGTTTTCCCAAAACACAAACCCCCAAACCCGTGCTTTGAAGCACCATTTCCTCCTGATATGTCAAAGAACTACCAAAAGCTTTCTGCGTCCTATTAGATTACAGGAGAACAAGGACTACAGACAAGTCCCTCAACTCTCCATTAAAGAAATTACCATACAATTATATGATCTAAGAGATCGAGCCGTAGACAAAGTCCCTTTTAGAGGTACCTCAGGTAATCTGTTCAGCCTGTGAGAACCACATACATCACCTAAGCCGGGCAACTTGTTACTGGTGACAGATTCTCTCTTCTGGAGTACAAAAGGCAAAGCTCTGTTTATGCCTTTCAGCCGTGTTTACACTACTCCCAGTAATCTAGTGTCAGGTTAGCCCTAATCTGTTTTTAAATACTTATGTAAACAGATCCTTCCAACAGCAAATCTGGATTAGTTTTGCATCATTTCCTGGTACATGTGGAGTGACCTTGCTTTGACCTGCATGGATGCTTTCAGGCACAGCTTCCCAAAGCATGAGCTTCTCTACACTGACTACAATTTACCCTACAAACAGGTCCAGGGCTTTTTTTTTCTCCCCCCCCTCCCTGCCCCTCGAAACAAAGTGCAAACAGAAAGAGAACACAAAGAGTGCTTCGTTTAAATCAAACCTTTGAATGCCTCCTGCAACCTAAAAGACACACCAAAAAACTCACTCCAAACATTTGGGGAGCTGCAAATTAACCTTCGATGGCAGGATCTGACAATGAGAGTATCATTTCAGGTATTCCAGATGGGGAGGAGGAAGAAAAAGACTTTAGTTACTATTGCATCTGTAATTAATGTGGTTTATATTTTGTTTTAAGGTAAAAAAATCAAACCGGAACCAGAACTTCATGCCACAAAAAGGATAAAGTAACATGCAACTATTAATGACAAAATGGGTCTTCTTGCCCCACTGCAACAGTTCTACTTCCAGTACCCATCTCGATTATCTCCAAGAATGCTCAGCAAACATCTCATCTATGTTTTTTAAACATGGATTGAGGGATTGAGAGTATAACCAATATATCCAACTACACGTTTAAAACGTGCCAGACTGAACTGAAGTGATTCAGCCTGTGCTGTCCTACAACAGTAGCACACATCAGGGCTTAGGGGGTTCATTTCTCATACACGTATACATCCTGATGGCAAAATATACCTCAGACACATAACTGATCAAATTCTTCTAGCCTAGTCAAGATCTGCAACTGCCCCACCACCACCTGCATTAGTGATGGAGAGGATTGTCGTGGTTTAAGCCCAGGTCCTTCCATAAGGCACTCTCCTGCAGTATGATCAAGTACCCCGTAACTGCTCTGCACTAATGCTGACTGTATGCTCCGGGCAGGATTCATCCCTTAACCAGAGGAGATCTGATGCAGAGCTGGGGAGCAGTTAAGAGGACATTGTGCCCCTCAGGAGACGCTCACTGGTGTGGCTGGCCAGAGCAGGACCCTGCGGGCTGTGCCACTGGGCTACACTCACCTAGAAATCCAACCTCTGCACGTGGTTATTCCACCTCAATTCAGTTTCCTGTAGGGCCCCGAAAGACTCAATTCATTAAGGTCCGCTTCTACTTTTGGAGTCTCTTGAAGGGTTGTGGTGGGAACACAGTGGACACTAGACAAAAATGAAGTGTTTTAAGAGCCTCAGACATTTGGGGGCAGTGTGTCACTGACATCGGTTACTGAGTCAGATTTAGGTCCTGCTCAACAGTACACGAGAAAGATTCATGAGTTGGATTTTCTGGTAGGAAACTGTTTCAGGAATGAGTCCCATTGTCTGACTCAATTCTCTCTGGGGTGCCGTGTCGCCACAAGACTTGTTTCTCAAGGCCCAGGATAGTGTTCTGGGCAGTGGCGTGGGGCACAGCGTATGTTTCCAGCCATCCGGTGGTTGCTTCCACCATGGTAAGCACATAGCGCTTGCCCTGGCGAGTCGCTGGGAGTGTGATATAGTCAACCTGCCAGGCCTCCCCATACTTGTACTTCAGCCATCGTCCTCCATACCAGAGAGGCTTTAACCGCTGGCTTGCTTAATTGCAGCACATGTTTCACATTCATGAATAACCTGGGCAATAGTGTCCATTGTTAAGTCCACCCCTCGATCACGAGCCCATCTGTATGTTGCATCTCTGCCCTGATGGCCTGAGGTGTCATGGGCCCACCGGGCTAAGAGTAATTCAGCCTTATGTTGCCAATCTAAGTCCATCTGAGCCACCTCAATCTTAGCAGCAATCACTACAGTCAAAAATGAAGGTGTTTTAAGAGCCTCAGACATTTGGGGGCAGCATGTCACTGACATCGGCTACCGAGTCAGGTTTAGGTCCTGCTCACCAGTACAAACTGGGCATGAGAAAGAGACATCATTTGGGTTTTCTGGTAGAAAATACAACTTTATCACAGTGCTGGGAGGAAAAGCACGCTCACCCTCGCCTCGGGAAAAGACCAAATGCAGAGAGACTGATTTCCACTAAGCACGTACAAAGTCAACATCTATGAACACCCTCTCCCTACACCTCTGGCACACAAACCATTTCATTTGGAATGGGAAGTCCTGGGGACTTCCCTGGAAGACATCTTCAGCTCTGCCGCTCCCATTCACCTCAGCAATCCTGGCAACATGACATCAATACTGTAATTGTTGCTCTGATGCCCCGATTTCACTTCTGGGATCCACAGCTTGTCTTGGTTGAGGTTTCATTTCCCCTGAGGAAGGCCAGTCCAAGAGGAGAGTTGTCAGCAGTAGATCACTTAACCTCACTGCAGTTCCCTGGAGGACCACTGTTCACATCCCCTGTTAGCTAATGAGCTAAGAAATGAATTATTGGAGCGGTCAGCAATAAGCAGGCAGAGGAGGCACAGTGTTTCATTTCAGCCAGCGCTGCCGTACCTTTAAATAAATCAAGTGAATAAGAGTACAAGGAAATGTGGGAAGAGCAACTAATCAGAAAGACACCGAACCTATCCCTAAAAATAAAGGAAACATACATCAGCTGGTAAATATGTCCCCCGTTTTCTTCCCTTAGCTGTAGTCCTGGGAACTTCTGCTCCAAATGACCCCTTCAATTTCGGAGACTTCAGTTGTAGCTGTCAAATCCAAAACAAGGCTCTTTTACTGAGCTTTTGAAGTCCAGTGGAGTCCATTTCTCAGGACCAGATTAAAGCCAGTGTGCTGGGAAGGCAACATCATCATGTGCTCAGATCGCCCCAATGATACGTAATGCTGGAGAACGTGTGAGCTGCCTCCTTCTTATATGTATTAAAATTACTTTTCTCCAGTGATCATGCTAGCTGCTGTATTTTCATGGCATATGCACAAAGGAATTAAGGGATTATAAACTCCATCTAGGAGTTAAAAGAGAAACAAAAAATAACAGAAGAACAGACTTTCCTTGAGCCTTTTATCTCTGAAGATACTCATTCAAGCCCAGACTGCTGATACGAACTTCAAACCTCAGTGGTTATACAAGGGCCAGATGCAACAGAGTAAGACTCAAAAATACCCTGCGCTACCAGGAGAGGACTGAGCCACTAAACCTTGGCCAAAAAGTACCACCAAGCTCTTTGCTCATGCAGGAGCATCACTAGTGAACTCTAAAGTACACACAGTGGTGTGAAGAATGAAACCTCTGCCATGGCAGTGCTACTGTACATAGGTAAAGGGTTACTAGGAACAGATGAATATTTCAGTTCTCAGTTTATTTTGATCTAATTAGGTGCTTGCTTCTCAAGATAATGTCCAATTATTTAAATTACTCTGCCAGCCACATCACATCATTATTATCTGGAAGCATAAATACTGGGCACTGTAAGGGGGAGGACTAACTAGGTAGCCTGAGAGAATATGAAACGCAGATTTGCTTAGAGCACAGCTTCACTCAAGGAGCTGAACTACTTTCCTCCCTTACGGATTTGCACCAGAGATGCTCATTTAGGAGCCCATGTCCTACACACCTCAGCCCTCTCAGCATCGTGTGGCTCTCCCACCTGCACTTTTACACCCAACAAATCTGAGCAGGATACACGGCTGGTACCAACTCTCCATCCTACTCCTCCTTGCTCCTGTTCACCTCTGCCTTCATTTGTCCCTCACATACACTCGGTGGACAGGAATGAAAGGCAAACACGGAAAGGATGTGCAGGGAGGAAATAAAAGCCGTGTTCATACAGTGCCTCGGAACCGACCGTGTAGGCAACAGCATGTGGATGAAGAGCCTGAGAACTTGCCATCAAAATACAACAGCTCCAGCGCAAGAGCAGCCTTGCTCTTACCTTGTTCTTACCAAAGCCATAACAAGGATGACACAAAATGTTGTGCCACTTGCTCGTTAGCTAAAATTACTCACCATTTGTTAAAAGGGGCAGTGCAGTTTTGCAAGGAGGCATTACTAACGCAACGGACAGCAGGCGT